TTCACATCCCTTTCAAACCACCTGTCTTCTTTGTCAAGAATGTGAACATTCTGGTCCTCAAAAGAATGTCCGTTGTCCATAAGGTGTAGATAGACAGCTGAATCTTGTCCAGAGGAGGTAGTCCATCTGTGTTGAGCCATGCATCTGTGGAGAGGCGGTTTGGTTTCTCCAATATAAATATAAGAACATTCTCACTACATTGAACTGTGTACACCACTCTGCTCATCTAAGGTCTGGGGGTTTTGTCTTTAGGGTGCACTAGTCCCTGTCTAAGGGTCTTGTTTGGTTTGAAATGTACTGGGATTTTCTGTTTCGAGAAAATCCTCTTGAGTTTTTCAGACACTCCAGCAACATATGGGATGTACGTATGGTTTTCATCCAAATTTAACTGGGTAATAGAGATTTGGTCCATTAGAGTCTTAGGGTTAGGGTTATGTACAACATAATTCGTGTACATATCTTGCAGTGTCTTTTTTCCACCAGAGATGGCAGTAACTGAGAAAGCAGAGGAACAAATGTTTTTTTTTTCCTTTTTCTTTTTGACACAAAAAAGGGTTAGGGTGTCTTTAAAAGCCTTTTGTTTGCAATGCGAATCACAAATTGTCAAGAAGCTCTAAACCTTGGACTCAATATTCAACAGACAGAGCTGGAAGAGTTACAACAGACTTTATTTAACAAGCAGCGTGAGACGGTGCGTCAGCAGGGGCGGATTACACGGATCCTCTGTGGAAACAGAAACTCAGGTCAGTGACTAAGAATGGATGGCTGGTAGCAGTTAAGAGCTAAAGTCACTGACCTGGTTCAAAGTTCATTCCGATCCCAGAAGGAGGAGCGGAATCCACGAAGTCAACGGTTCTCCGCTGCAGGCGGGCGCGGCCCCTGAAGCGCAGTGAGGAGAGCGGCGCTGAAGCCAAACGGCGCCGAGGAGCAGGTGTTGCCAGAAAAGGAGATCCAAGCCATAGTCGAAACAGAACCAAGTTCGTTTACCAGGAGATCTGAGAGCCGATGAGGTACCGATGAGGGAGTCCAAGCCGTGGTCAGGAAAACAGTCCGGGTTCGGTAAGCCAGTTGCATTCAATACACAGTCCAGAGCCGATCAGGCTAATTGAGCAGACAGGGGCGAAGCAAAACTCGGGATCCACAAGACGGAAACAGGTCACCAACAGAATAATCAGAATAATAGTTTAAACGCTAGAGTTACTCTCACCAAAACAGCTAGAATAATCTGGCACTGGGAGCTTAAAACCAAACAGTATATATAGGGGCAGGAACCAGGTGGAAGGGATACGAAATGAAGAGAGAACAGGCAGAGCTAAACAGGTGGGTGGAATAAGCAATCAAGCCACCAGTGCCAGGACCATGACACAAATAAGAGCTGCCTCCCCCTGGACAGGTACTCTGGGATTTCCTACAGCTTTTTATCTGTTTGATGTGACTGAAAGTGAATATTAAGTGTTTACAAAGTATGTGGGAAAAACTGCAAGTACCACAATATAACACCTAATATTTTCCCTTGGAAAGTTCTAACATTTGTATGAAGATGTCTATATACCAAACTGAACGATTGTTATTCTCTACTTAAAAAAACACTTTAGATTTAAGATGGAAAAATGTTATGTAATTTTTAAAATATTTTTTTATTTGATAAGTGCATAAACACCTCATTTTATTTCAGTGTTAAATTCTGTTTAAAGTAAAAGATTACCATTAAAAATGTCTCTGGACCTTTACAGGTTGTTGATTTTCTATATTCGGACCCCTGATACACTGATACAAAGTACTAGTTGGACAAATCTAATTTCTTACACTAAATCGAAACCTTTATCCCTTGACTGCATCACTGGATATGACCCAATACCTGACCTTACCATATTTGCCTCTTCCAAGAGCAGTCTGCCCTGAGTAAATGGCACCTGCTTGAAGCTATGTGCATTCATCTGAATAGTCCATTGAAGGAGCAGAAGCGTTAATTTTGAGCAGCAAAAGCTTCAGACAAGCATAAGTGTGTCACGTGCCAATTCTAGCCTCTTAGATCTGGAGGAAATTAGATGTTTACAGTAAATGGGGCTCTTAGCAACACCCACAGAGTTCAATATTGATTCAATGATTTGTTTTTTTTTATATGAGGAGAAGCATCAGCTTTCAGTTCTGAGAAGCATTATCTTCTTTCTCCTCAAGCTCCATTTCCATATAGGAATGACTGGGAAAGGGCATAATTGTAAGCTTGACACTTTCTTAAATTCAACCATGACAAGGTTTCCTTTTGTTTTGTTGGAGTTTTCTATGGTCATTCCTGCTTTTTGAAACCTACTGATTGGATATTTTACTCAATCATGAACAAAATTGCTAGAACAAATAATGTCATGATGCTTTTACTATATTTGGGCAGAATTCACATGAAATGCATTTTGAGATTTAAAAAGGGGGATCTAATGCCCTAACTTGGACACTTGTGAACTTTGAAGCTAGATGTTCTGGACTCTGAATTCTAAAGGTTCTGGTTCTTGAGCTGTTCTGTTAGTTTTCTTGCAATCTAGAGAGAGGCTTGGCTTTATTTGATTAGATAACATTAAAAAAAATTTTTTTAATTTTTTTGAGTAGACATAAAAAAAAAAATTAAATATATATATATGTGTGTGTTTGTGTGTGTGTGTGTGTATGTAGGAAATTACCTACAGATGGCAGCAGATAAAGGCTCACCTTCCCTCCTCGTACTCCACTATCTGTCTGCTACTTTTGACACTCAAATTCTTCTCAACACGCTACACAAAACTACTTGACTCTCTGACACTGCTCTTAACTGACAGAATGGAGTACATCCCATTTGGCAATACAAGTTCCAGACAACACAAAATCACCTGCAGAGTCCCCCAGGGATCAGTTGTTGGACCCATCCTCTTCATCATCTACATCCTCCCACGCGGTCATGTTATCAGCCACCATGGAGTCTCATTTCACTTGTACGCTGATGATCGACAACTGTACATTAAATCTGATTCTTATACCACAGCAGCTTCAACAAAAGCATTATCATCTTCAAAACTCACTGCCTGTCTAGAGGAGATAAAGATGTGGATGAAACACAATTTTCTCCAGTTGGACAGCTCCCAAACCGAGGCAATCCTTGTTGGTAAATCACACTAAGTCCAGTCATCCTCCATTACTGGTATAACCATCTCTGGCCAGGACATTCCCCTCTCCACAACAGTCACCAATCTTGGTGTAAATTTTGATTAACAACTCATCTTTGAAGCCCATATAAAACACCTCAGCAAAATATCCTATCATCTAAGAAATATTTCAAAACGCCGTTCTACGCTTACCTTGCAGAAAAACTGGTTCATGCCTCTGTTTCCTTCAGGCTAGACCACTGTAACACACTTCTCATCAGGATCCCTAACAAGAATCTGCAAAAACTACAGTAAGCTCACAACAGTGCTGCATACCCATTCTCCACTCAATTCACTGGCCTCCTGTTTCTGCAAGGATTGAATACAATGTCAAATGCTGCCCAATACCAGATGGAACTGCTGCTCACCCCTCTCACTACAACATGATCCCACCGCCTAGAACACTTAAACCACCTCTAACCGATAAAGAAAAAAAAAGTATATATATATATATATATATATATATATATATATATATATATATATATATATATATATATATATATATATATATTTATTGGTTATAGGGTCTCAACTTCCCGTTGGATGGCTGTCAAGTCAGACATCTACTCCGTGATTGAGCAATCAACAGCATGTCCATAGCTCCATAAAATCACATTTATTTACAAGATGCTAATTCATTCAGATTTACCTGTAAGTGGAGTGGGAGGAAATTTAATGTACAAGTAGATTTAAAGGAATAGTACACCCAAAAGATGATTAGCCTTCATTTTTTACTCACCCCCATGCTGAACAACACTCTGGAGTACTTTTTTGATATCTCAAATGCGTCTGGAGATCTGGGAGGCTTCTTGCTGTCTTCTGACATTCAAATAATGGAGGTCTGTGGCGCCCAAGGCAGAAAGGTCCATAAAAGTCCACAAAAAACGTGTCAATATTCCTCCATACTGCTCGTCCAATGTATTCCAAGTGTCCTGAGTGGGTAGCGTCCATAATTTACTTGAAACGAAGTCATTTAGAATGTTTTTAGAGCATAAACAGTAGTGTATAGGATTTCCTAAAAGCGCGTTCACGAGTCTACGGAAACCGCGGCAGACCAAACCAGATGAAAGTGCGCATTCAGCGTCTGCTCTGCCGATAATGCAAGCGTAGAAGAAGAAATGTGCTGTTTACCTGTGCAAAGAAAGAAACAACAAAAGAAAAATGTCTGAGGACTTCAGTTTTGAGGAAGAGCATGAGTTCTTTGCCGAGCTGAATGCGCACTTTCGTCTGGTTTGGTCTGCCGCGGTTTCCGTAGACTTGTGAACGCGCTTTTAGGAAATCCTATACACTACTGTTTATGCTCTAAAAACATTCTAAATGACTTAGTTTCGAGTAAATTATGGACGCTACCCACTCAGGACACTTGGAATACATTGGACGAGCAGTATGGAGGAATATTGACACGTTTTTTGTGGACTTTTATGGACCTTTCTGCCTCAGGCACCATAGACTTCCATTATTTGAATGTCAGCAGACAGCAAGAAGCCTCCCAGATCTCCAGATGCATTTGAGAAATCAAAAAAGTACTCCAGAGTGTTGTTCAGCATGGGGGTGAGTAGAAAATGAAGGCTAATCATGTTTTGGGTGTACTATTCCTTTAAAGTATCTGATTAGCATACACATTTAATATTTACCAATCCAAATACCAGTTGCTATGAACACACTATCAAATTCATAAATAAATAACATTTACACACAATATCATCGGCTTGAAGGTATGCCATTTTGTGAGAGAATATACATAGATGTGTCATGATGGGTTCTCAGAAAGAGACCCAAGAATGCAGAACACCACTTAACGGACACAGGGATGAAAAGTTTAACAGTTTATTGAAGCTCAACACACAGAATGTACGGATGACTGGTTCGGGCCTGGGTTCTGGTTTCACCGGAGTCTGCGTGAGAGACAGAGCGGTTAATGACTGCTGATAGGATTAGGTTTCCAAGTGAACTCAGATTTGTACCTTGTGGGTTCTTGAGGTTCTCTTGGGAGAGTCACTGTTGGTTCTGGGGAGAAGTCTGTTAGCAGAATCCGCTAGCTGCTTCAGCGTCTCACGTCTAGCTTGATCAGACCTTGGGTTTGGTTCTTCAGCTCTAGTCCAGAGCTGCTTGGAGATTTTCAGAGGATCTTCAGGGTTTGGCTCAGAGGGTCGGCTCGGCAGGTTTGCTCCTCCAGAGCTTTCACTGAGGAGGTACAGGTTTCCTGGAAACACAGAGAGAGTAGTTAGGATCCGACCTGGATTCAAAGACATAGAGATTACTCTAGGATCAAGGCTTTAGCGCTGACCAACTGGAACAACACTGCGGCGTTGAGGCAAGGTCTGAAGACAGCTTATGTAGGATCCTCTGATGATGTTGACGAGCTGCAGCTGCGCAGGAGGCTCCCTCAGAGGATCCACAGCGGACTCTGCTGGAGAAGGATGGAATCCTCCCCAGCTCCCAACAGTACCCCCCCTCAACGACCGCCCCTTGGCGGTGCAGAAGAGGTGGATGGACAGGAACGCTCGTACTCCTCGATCAGAGTGGGGTCGAGGATGTACGAGCCCGGGACCCACTGACGGTCCTCAGGTCCGTAGCCCTCCCAGTCGACGAGGTACTGCCAACCGCGACCTCGTCGACGGGAGTCCACGATGCGGCGCACCGTGAAGGCCGGATGACCATCAACTTCCAGGGCGGGTGGTGGGGAGTCGGACGGAGGGCACAGAGGACTCGAAGAGACGGGCTTAATCTGGGAAACGTGGAAAGTTGGGTGGATTCGGAGGGACTGGGGTAACTGAAGGCGGACAGCTGAAGGGTTGATGACTCGAGAAATTTTATATGGACCGATGAATCTTGGGGAGAGTTTTCGAGACATCCCCTTGAGGGGGATGTCTCGAGTGGAAAGCCACACCTCCTGGCCCTCAGAGTACTCGGGAGCGGGACGTCGCTTGGTGTCGGCAAAGCGTTTAGAAGAGGCAGAAGACTGATTAAGTGTGGTGATGGTTTCCCTCCAAATCCTCTGGCAGCGACGGATGTGATGATTTACGGATTGCACCGATATCTCTCTCTCATCTGCGGGGAAAAGAGGTGGTTGATAACCGAGACTGACCAGGAATGGGGACTGACCAGTGGATGCAGAGCGGAGGGAGTTGTGGGCGTATTCAATCCAAGGAAGGAACTGGCTCCAGTCCACGGGGTTACTTGATGTGAGACAGCGGAGGGTGGATTCCAGTTGTTGATTCATGCGCTCGGTCTGACCATTCGATTGGGGATGATATCCTGATGTGAGGGAAGGTTTACAGCCGAGCGCAGAGCAGAAAGCTTTCCATACCTGGGATATGAATTGAGGTCCTCGATCCGAGAGGATCTCCTGGGGGATACCATGAAGCCGGAAAACGTGTTTGATGAGGAGTTGAGCGGTCTGGAAGGCTGTGGGAAGCTTTCTGAGAGGAACAAGGTGGCAGGACTTCGAGAAACGGTCTACTATAGTGAGTATAGTGGACATACCTCGGGAGACTGGGAGACCGGTGACAAAATCGATGGCAATATGGGACCATGGACGCGAGGGAACAGGAAGTGGTTGGAGCAGGCCAGAAGGAGGTTGGTGTGAGGCTTTGTTGCGGGCACATGTGGGACAAGCCAACACATACTCCTTTACGTCCTTGTGGAGTGAGGGCCACCAGAAACGCCTGGAGATGAGAGCAACTGTTCTACTCACTCCTGGATGAGCGGTGAATTTGGCGGTATGCATCCACTGGATCAGACGGGACCTGACGGATGAGGGAACATAGGATCGATTAAGCGGACCGGTACCTGGATCTGGTTCAGTGGCAAGGGCAGAGTTGATAAGATCCATTATCTCCCAATTGACCATTCCAATGGTACATGAAGGTGGGAGGACGGGTTCAGGTGTCTCTGGATGATCGACGGAGTAGAGACGAGAGAGAGAATCGGGCTTCACGTTCTTGGATCCGGGCCTGTATGAAATGATGAGGTTGAAACGGGAAAAGAATATTGACCACCTGGACTGGCGAGGATTAGCCTGCTTTGTGGACTGGATGTAAGCCAGGTTCTTATGGTCTGTCCAGACGAGAACTGGATGCTCAGCTCCCTCCAGCCAATGCCTCCACTCTTCCAATGCCAGCTTAATGGCCAGGAGTTCTCGGTCACCCACGTCATAATTTTGTTCGGCTGGAGAAAGCCTACGGGAGAAAAAGGCACACGGATGAATTCTTTGATCTGAGTCTAACCTTTGAGAGAGAACCGCTCCAACCCCGGAGTCGGAAGCATCCACCTCTAGGATGAACTGTTTCGTCGGATCAGGTTGGATGAGAACAGGTGCTCTGGAAAACAAGGATTTTAGTCTTTCAAAAGCAGTTTGAGCCTCGGGGGTCCACTGAAAAGATCGCTTGGTGGAAGTTAGTGTGGTTAATGGAAGGGCGGTTTGACTATAATTCCTTATGAACCGGCGGTAGAAGTTGGCGAATCCTAAAAACCTCTGAAGCTGTTTTCGGTTCTCAGGAACAGGCCAGTCCAAAACTGCCTTTATTTTGTCCTCTGATGGTTTTACCTGGCCGCCCTCGAGCACAAACCCCAAAAAGGTGACTGAAGGTTGATGGAACTCGCACTTCTCGGCTTTCACGAACAGTTTGTTTTCCAGAAGTCTCTGTAAGACAAGACAAACATGTTTCTTGTGTTCCTGGAGGTTCTTGGAGTAAATGAGAATGTCATCAATGTATACGAAGACAAACACATTGAGGAAGTCTCTGAGTACATCATTAACTAGAGCCTGAAAGCAGGCAGGTGCGTTAGTTAAACCGAATGGCATCACCAGGTATTCGAATTGACCCAGGGGTGTTTTAAAGGCAGTTTTCCATTCATCGCCCTCTCGTATCCTAAGGAGATGATAGGCGTTTCTTAAGTCCAGCTTGGAAAACACTGTTGCACCCTGTACAGGTTCAAAAGCGGAGGCGAGAAGAGGCAGTGGGTATTTATTTTTAATTGTGATCTGATTCAAACCTCGATAATCAATACAGGGTCTCAGGGAACCATCTTTCTTGCCCATGAAGAAGAAACCGGCGCCCAATGGAGAGGATGAAGGGTGGATTATTCCAGCAGCTAATGATTCGTTGATGTATTTTTCCATTGTTTCTCTTTCAGGCTTGGAAATGTTATACAATCTGCTGCTAGGAAGAGGTGCACCAGGTAAAAGTTCAATGGCGCAATCGTATGGTCTGTGTGGAGGTAGGGACGTCGCACTGACCTTGCTGAAGACAGGGGCTAAGTCATGGTACTCAGGAGGAACTGAAGAGAGGTCAGGAGAGTCCATCTCCCCCCCACCACTAGGAGGCCCCACCATAGGGGCAGCAGAACGAAGGCAGGTTTCGTGGCACGTAGAGGACCATGATTCCAGAAAGCGTTTAGTCCAATTAATGTGAGGGTTATGCTTCTCCAACCACTCGAACCCGAGGACCAGTGGGGAACATGCAGAAGGAAAAACAAAGAAAGTTATAGTCTCTCGGTGGTTACCTGACAGAAGTAGCTTGAGGGGCTGGGTTTGGTGGGTAACTCGATGGAGTCTTTTTCCGTCTATGGCGGACACACTGAGGGGCTGAGAGAGAGGAACGGTTTTAATTTGGAGTTGCTGGACGAGGTTAGAGTCGATTAGGTTACGCTCACAGCCTGAGTCGATGAAGGCGGAGAAAGAGAGACTTAGGTTATCACAGAAGAGGGTGGCAGGCAGCAACAAACGAGGAGATTTTATTGTATTTGTTTGGCCCGCCAGACTCCTCAGATCCTCTGGCGGGCCCCGGCTTTTGATTTTGCCGGGCAGGAGGCGATGAAGTGTCCACTCTCGCCACAGTAGATACATAACTTACTTAGGAAACACCTCTGTCTCTCCTCTGGAGTGAGCCTAGTATGTCCCACCTGCATAGGTTCATAATTCCTCTCCCCCGAATGAGAGGCTTGAACAGGCAATGGTAGAGGCAGGGGCTTAGACGTCTGAGTGGGCATCTGCTCTGTGGAGGGAGAACACACAGTAACGTTAGGAGAGGCAGGAGAGAAGTTACTCTGCTTCTTTGAACTGTTTCTGGCTCGAATCCTATTATCTAGTCTGATGGAGAGGCGAATTAAATCCTCGAGGGAAGCAGGCTCGTCGAGGGTTGCTAGTTCATCTTTAATATGTTCGTTTAGCGCCATGAAGAAGGCTCCCTTCAAGGCGCTTTGGTTCCATCCGGAAGCTGCCGCCTTAACCCGGAAGTTTATTGAAAAATCTGCCACCGATGAATTTCCTTGTTTAAGGTTGAAAAGAGCTCTGGAATCTATTGTTTGGTCAGTCTCCTGGTTGAAAACCTGGGAAAATTCAGCAATGAAGTCAGAAAAATGGCAATTTAAACTGTCGTCAGTGGCAAATCTTGCCTGAGCCCAGTCCAAGGCTCTTCCTGTTAACTGAGAAAGAATGAATGTTATCTTCTTGTGATCTGAGGAAAAACTGCCAGGAGAGTTCTGAAAAATCAACCGACACTGGAATAAAAATCCCTTGCAATCTTTCATGTTACCTGAGAATTTCTCTGGAAGACTAGGGCGGAACTCTGATGACGTCATAGGTTGTGACCTCGGAGGAGGGATTGGACCCGGAAATGGTTGTTGAATTGGTGCAGCATTAGCGCAATTCAGGAAGTTAGCACAATTCTGAAGCATTTGGTTATGTGTTCCAACAAGATGATATAACTCACGAAGCGTTTGAGATTGTCCTTGTAGAAGAGCATCCTGTTCTTCCAAACGACGATTGAGGTGATCTGCTGGGCCTTGAGTTTGGCCGCAGTGTTCTGTCATGATGGGTTCTCAGAAAGAGACCCAAGAATGCAGAACACCACTTAACGGACACAGGGATGAAAAGTTTAACAGTTTATTGAAGCTCAACACACAGAATGTACGGATGACTGGTTCGGGCCTGGGTTCTGGTTTCACCGGAGTCTGCGTGAGAGACAGAGCGGTTAATGACTGCTGATAGGATTAGGTTTCCAAGTGAACTCAGATTTGTACCTTGTGGGTTCTTGAGGTTCTCTTGGGAGAGTCACTGTTGGTTCTGGGGAGAAGTCTGTTAGCAGAATCCGCTAGCTGCTTCAGCGTCTCACGTCTAGCTTGATCAGACCTTGGGTTTGGTTCTTCAGCTCTAGTCCAGAGCTGCTTGGAGATTTTCAGAGGATCTTCAGGGTTTGGCTCAGAGGGTCGGCTCGGCAGGTTTGCTCCTCCAGAGCTTTCACTGAGGAGGTACAGGTTTCCTGGAAACACAGAGAGAGTAGTTAGGATCCGACCTGGATTCAAAGACATAGAGATTACTCTAGGATCAAGGCTTTAGCGCTGACCAACTGGAACAACACTGCGGCGTTGAGGCAAGGTCTGAAGACAGCTTATGTAGGATCCTCTGATGATGTTGACGAGCTGCAGCTGCGCAGGAGGCTCCCTCAGAGGATCCACAGCGGACTCTGCTGGAGAAGGATGGAATCCTCCCCAGCTCCCAACAAGATGAAAAATGACTTGTGCAGGCAGATACTTATTGACTGTGGGGAGGTGTAGTTAGGTGATTTATGACCAAAGAGGCCTTTAAGATTAATCCCCTCATGTCTCCTAGCTATGAGCTCAATCAATTTATTAAAGTCTATTGGTTTCTGATTAAGAAAATCATTTAATAAAGTATTATTTCTGTCAAGTTTGAACCATGATTGAAATAATGTTTTTTCTATGCCTGTGTGAATTCTCAGTTATCCGAGTCATGGCAACCATCTGGAACTCCAATAAACCAGAAGAACAAAGTGTGGCTATTTAATTTGCATCTGACTTGGAAAGTGCTTAGGAGGGACCAACATGCTACTTAAATAAATATAGTTCTCTTTTTTTCTTATGTCCTTTTCTTCTCTCCCCTTCCCCGTCTTTCCCCTCCTCCTTTGTCACCTCCCTTTTTTGCTTTTTTTTTTTTTTCAAAATACACAACTGGAACCTTAATGCAACCCAAATGCTGCTCTGCTTGTTAAGGCAAATATGTTGGGGTATTTTCCAGTACCAGAACATCAATTCTTAGGGCTATGTTGACAAACAAAAATGAAAAAATAAGAAAATGTAGTAAATGTAGCAAATTTGCCAATACAACTCAATGACTTAAAAAAAAAGAAACACACAAAAAAACTCTATGGCCGTGCTGGTTCCTGTGAAAGACAGGTGTTGCATTACAAATTATGCTCTATTTTTGCTCTTATGAAAAACATTTTTAATATGCTTGTTTAAGTTATCTCATTCTAAAGTAAAGGTGTAGGTGTTTCCGTTACACGACAATGGGATAAAACATTAACCGAAAAAAGATAGAATATATAGCATTAATAGAATTGAAGATAATTAACTGGAGGAGAGACTGAAAGTCAGAGCTGGTCAGTTGGCTGGTTTGGTTTAGTAACATCGCCCTAACCTGATAATCTTCCATCTCCCACATGCCGCTGCATTCTCGCTCATACATTGAAACCCAATTTTTATTGATCTAATCTTTTGCCACAAGCTAATAGGTTTGCTTCATTCACTGCCAAACACAGAGCTTTTGACGTATTTCATTAAATCTAGGAAGGTAACAACTCTCAGTATCACCAAGCTGTATTTTCTAGTATTGCAAGCTTGATTAGCTTGTGGTAGTGCCAAGCATAATGCATGTGGGATGTGGGCTTTGTTACTGCTGTCCTAAAGAACAAAATGTACAAAATGCTTGCCTAATGCAAAGCAATTTTAAATGTACTTGCTTGTCGCACATATTTGACAGTTACTTAACTGGATTAAGAATAGGGGGAGTTAGAGTTAAATGAATTTAGGAAAAATTGTGTTGTTATTTCTGAAAGTCTTTTAGAACAGTGTATCTGGCACTGTAATGCTAGTTGTCCTCCTGATCAAAACCACTGGAATACATGAGCTCAACTATATCTATGAAATGCTTTTTTTTAAACATCAGCAATCCTTATTAGAGACTTAGACTTAGACAGATTTATTTTGTCAGTTTGTATATAGTGTAAACAAAAAGAAATTTCGTTTAGACCAGCACCCTAGCCAATTTCATTTTTTAAAGTGTAGCCTTGATAAGGTAAGCAGCAGTTGTTTTTGAGCTGCTGCTACTGCCTCCAGCTCCTGAAGCACTCGCTTCTCCTGGCTCAGGGGAGGGAGAGGACGATGACGACGGTGCTGTGATGGTTGTAGCCTCCTGGGTTGAAGAGGATGATGTGGTTAAAGCAGCAGTTGTGCCATGGGCAGGTTTAGCAGTGACAGACAATGCTGGAGAAGGTCTGGAAGCCGGAGAGGGCGGGGAGGAGCCGGCTGGGGATGTTTCAGCATTTGGCAGGGAAGCATCTAGAGTCCTCTCCTCATTTTCACCTGCAGAGGGCTGTACTTCCCCTCTAGATGCCAAAGATTGGCTGGGAACAGCCTCAGAAGAACCTCCATTCACGCTGAGCTCTTTGTTTCTATCGGCGCGGTACATTAGCAAGCCCCCCAGGCAAGCAACACCGTCTGGTACTGCTTCACGCAGCCAACACCCCATCAGAATGATGGTACGGCAGTTACATATCTCCTTTTTTGAAGAGAGGTCCAGTCGGAGATTATCTATTTTGTTTCACAACTAGCACACATTGGAGAGCAGGATTGATGGAAGCAGTGGTCTGTGGAGATATCTCTTTTTCTTTTTATAGTTAGCCCCCCACTGTAGCCTCGCTTTCTTCGTTCCTTGCGCATCTCTTTCTCCTACCATTATTCGCCTTAAACATGCTCTTCTTTAACAATAAATTATTAAACAATACTGCACTCTGCCATTTTGGAAGTGGTATGGCAACTGTTTCTTCTCTTTTATTTTAGCTTTTCTGCTTTTTATGTTGATCAATGCCCCTCTGTGTTTTTTTGCGAGTACTGCAACTACATCTGCATCAACTATAAACATGTACAGCACCTCTATTGCCTCACGCATGGAGTGCATGGACCGGTGCAAACACCCAAAGTGCCAGTATCTGTCAGCCTTATAGTCAGGGTAGAGGTCTGAAGGCTTGAGAGGCTTGGGATGCAGATCTGAATCTTGAGGGACTCAAAGTGATGTCTGGCAGCATGAGATGCTCAGGGCTTGAGTGACTGACTGGAACTGATCAAGCTGACTCATGGTGGCACCCTGAAACCTGTGGCCTTGGTAGGGCCCTAGGGGCATGAAGTCAGCATGGAGCCACAGGAGCCACACTGGAGATGGAATGCATAGTGCTTGGAGCCACAGATGACCCAAAGTGCTTGTAGCTATAGTAGAGCCTGGAGTGCTACCCAACACTAATGAGACAGGAAAGTCTGTAGAGGACATCATTGTTGATTATAACTTGGTTCATAAGTGTTAACATTCAAGATATAAGAAATGTTTTTGGTTAAAATATGGATACTATAATGCATGCTAGCCTTAGCCTATTTTTTTTTAGCTTAATGCAAAGTGCTTTTGAATCCATCGTATTAGCATTCTGCTAAGAAGGAACTTAGCAACCAGGAAGTTATAGTGATGTCCCAATTCCTCATTGTATGTAGGGGTAGTGGACATAACAAGGGTAAGGGGTACGAATCTAGCCCTTAAGAATCAGGGATTTCAGATACTGACTTTCAGAGGAATTTACAGATACAATTTCCCAGAAAACACAGAGGACAGGGATTCTAGCTAGTGACCACACTCTTTTTCTTTTTTTCTTCTTTTGAAAGCCAATCAAAGCCGTTGGTAATGCCATCCCTCCGTTCGCCAAATTCTCCAAAACAGAGGTGAGGGGAGATGACATTGTGGAACTAAGACAAGAACAGTGGGAATTCTGTGCAAGAGCACAATCAGACAGAGCACCTGAACCGAGAACAGGCGGATTACCCCCTCTATGGAGCTAAGGTACCAGATTGGAGCCTTCTGAGAAAATAGTGCATCAGAGTGTGTGTGGATGGGGGGTATTTGCAAGTACTAGTTCAGGATGCAAGTGGAGTTCAGGATGCAAGCAGAGAAATACAGCAGTAGGTAGGGGGGGAGTGGCGGCCTAGTGGTTAGGGTGTAAAGCTTGGAATCCTGAGGTTGTGAGTTTGAAACCCATCCACAGACTGCCACTCTGGGTCTCTGAGCAAGACCCTTAACCCCTGACTGCTCCCCGGACATCCCACATTGGCAGCCCACTGCTCCCCAAGTGGATGAGTTAAATGTGGGGGTAAATTTCTCCAATGTGAGATCAATAAAGTTAAATTATTATTATTATTAGGTAGAAGCCTGAGCTAGAAGTGGCTACTGCTGGCTACGGCTTTGACTATTCTCCTATGGTAGGACATGAGCTGTTATGTGCATATGTAAGTATGCACATACAGGTAAATACATTTGGCGCACTCTGTTGACACTTTTGGTCTCAATGTAGCATTACCGATTACCAAAAACAACACAGAAAAAACAATAGGGTGTTTTGTTTAATGGTTTTATTTGAAGGGGAAGTGGATTCTCTCTGGATAGTAGATATCTAACTGTAAGTGAAAAGGTGCAAAAACAAAATTTCTGCTTAATAGGTCCCCTTTAAGCACAGTAAAGTCCAATTACTTTTTAAGTAAAAGGGAAATTAAAGAAGCAGTAAATTAAGTTTCACCACTAGATGGGCTGTTGAGAACTATCTGTAGACAAAAATGATGGGTTGCAAGCCACCCTTTTCTCTACCTACTCTCCACCTGTAAAACATACTGTATAGCACATGTCTATGGTGAGGAGCATTTGAGCTTGTTATATTTCAGGGCAATCAGCATATTTACTATCGCATCTGACATGAATTTCTTTTTTCCAGAGTTGGGGAACAGGCCAGAGTTATTTGCAAGACAGCTGAGGTGGAGAAATGTTGGCCTAGTAGGACTATTCTTGCTCTTTACCAGCATGGAGTGTGTCTTTGTTTTAAACTTAACTGAAATGCAAAATTGTATAGCTACTCTGATATTAAATTAAAATTATAAGAGTGAGAGCAGTAAAGCCATATAGAAAAGCACAGGTTAATTAAATGATGAAATAAAGGGAGTTGTCTCTTGACTTAAATGTTTTGTAATGAATTAGTTCTAAATTAATAGCAAATTGTGATTAGAGAATAGTAATTAATGTTAAGTAACAAGCATGACTATTTGCAACCTATTGTGTGTCTTAATTGCAAGATCATGTTTTAATGTTTTTTTTTCTGACTCTGACAGAGTTGTCTTTTACTGCTTACCTTAAATTGTTTTCCATCCTCATTGTCATCTCATGTTTTAGAATGCCTCTCCTCCCACCCTCCAAAGGATAAACTTTTCAGTTCCAGTCACTATCCTTGTGATGCTCATACAACATGAAGGCTGTGTGGTAGGAATAGGCCTCAGAAGCATGATAAAAAAGGGGGAAGGGAGGGTTAGGTTATGGCTCTGTACGCTTCCAGCATTCACCCTTGTTAGCCTTTACCAGTTTGACAATACCCTGATGAGACATGACAGGACAAGCTTTCATAGCCATGTTTGGGCTGATGCTCTTAAAGTGATCATAACTGGACTGTTTTGTAGCTTTCATGAAGAAAGCGAATTTTAAATGGCCAAATACAAACGCTTTGTTAAGCATGGTAACTGGAGGAATGACAGAAAAAAAGTATATTAGACACCAGCCACCAAAAGAAACCCTATAGTTTTTGGCTTCAAAAAAGGAAAACCAACTTTTTATATTTACAAATGATCAATATTGACCCAATTTAATGTTTTGCATAGTTAATAAAAATATGAACAGTCAGATTCTTTCATCTATGAATCAGAAAAATACACATTGTTTTTCTTTTTTGGAGAATGAACAAAGTATTACCTGTTGGCTCACAGCATCTCCATTAGCTCTAGGTTTTGCCATTGACTCTTCTAAACCATTTTTTATTCTCTTGTTTGAGCCATACAAAGTTGGACTGGCTGGCATGATTTGAATCTCTGTTTTGTTCTATAAATGAACTGGACTTGAGATAAAGGTCTAACAAAGAACTGAACACATTTCTTTTGGATTTTCAAAGGAGAGCAATATTTGGGCGCCAGTCAATTTATAAATGTTTTTTGGGTCAGAGGTCTCCAACTATGGTCCTAAGGTACCACTGACCAGCATATGTTAGGTGTTCCCTTACCCACACACACCTGACTTAATTAAATGTATAATTAACTTACCTCTCCAGCCCTTGAAAGCTGCTGAGGAGAAAATGCAATCATTTTATTAAGGTTTGTGAAGCAGATGAACAGCTAAAAAAAAGCAGGGCAGGGCTACCAGAGTTGAAGATGACTCTGTGTATCATTCGTTCTTTCGTTTTTCAAATTAAAACCAAAAACTAAAAATGCAAAAATACACTTGTTTTCTCACTACTTGTTTCCAAAACAAAAAGAAAAAAATATATAATGACTTATCTACATATTTTTTGGTTATTTGATTTGTGTTTCAGAAATGGGAATTATAAACACAAAAACAAATGGTGATTTGACTTATGGACATAGAAAAAAAAAAGAAAATTAAATATTTAATGCATTTTTATTTTTCATTGTCAAAAAGGGAAAATTAAAAGTTGAAAAATGATTTGAATTCCATTTTCCATTTCAGGAATCAAAAAACAAAAATGATTTTGAACAGAAATGAAAAAAGGCTTGTTTGTGGTTGCGCCAATGAAGTAAGAGTAGTCCCAGGAAAAAAAGGTACTTGCTGCTGTGTAGCTGAACTTGAGCAAAGACATGGAGCTGTCATGGTCCTGGCACTGGTGGCTTGATTGCTTATTCCACCCACCTGTTTAGCTCTGCCTGTTCTCATCATTTCTTATCCCTTCCACCTGGTTGCAGCCCATATATATACGGTTTGGTTTCAAGCTTCCAGTGCCAGATTATTCTAGCTGTTTTGGTGAGAGTAACTCTAGCATTAAAACTACTTTTCTGATTATTCTGATGGTGACCTGTTTCTGTCTTGTGGATCCCGAGTTTTGCTTCGCCCCTGTCTGCTCATTTAGTCTGATCGGCCCTAGACTGTGTATTGGATTCTACTGGCTTACCGAACCTGGACTGTTTTCCCGACCACGGCTTGGACTCCCTCATCGGTACCTCTTCGGCTCTCAGATCTCCTGGTAAACGAACTTGGCCTCTTGGCTTCAGCGCCGCTCACCTCACTGCGCTTCGGGGGCTGCGCCCGCCTGCGGCGGAGAGCCGACTCCTTCGCGGATTCCTCCCCCCCTTCTGGGATCGGACTGAACTTTGAACCAGGTCAGTGACTTTAGCTCTCAACTGCTTCCAGCCAACCATTCTTAGTCACTGACCTGAGTTTCTGTTTCCACAGAGGATCCGTGTAATCCGCCCCTGCTGACGCGCCGAACAAAACTATGATGTCGAGGACAGAGAATTGCTGGCAGTCAAACTGGCTCTGGAGGAGTGGAGACACTGGCTGGAGGGAGCCAGTACTCCTTTCCTGGTCTGGACCGACCACAAAAATCT